TTGAGACCATTATCAAGTCTTGGCCTCAATCTGCTACCTCATTTCCACTAAAACATAAAGTCCATTACAGCAGAAATTTTCATCCACCATGTCAGCAGCACCTACAACAGAACCAACACACATAAATATTTTTAAAATAAATAAATGAAGAAAAAGAGGTCTTCCATAAAGACTAAAATGAAGTTACCTACACCCATCTACTTTGGTTATGTACATAAGCTCATCAGAAGCTTATGAGGATGAGGATGTTACACAGGCTAGACACTTCTACTAAAGAATAGTTCAGGCTCGGCGCCTGTGGCTCAAGTGGCTAGGGCGCCAGCCACATACACCTAAGGTGGCAGGTTCGAATCCAGCCCAGGCGTGCCAAACAACAACGATGGCTGCAACCAAAAAAAAAATAGCCAGGCGTTGTGGCGGATGCCTATGGTCCCAGCAACTTGGGAGGCAGAGGCAGGAGACTCACTTGAGCCCAGGAGTTGAAGGTTGCTGTGAACTATGCCACAGCACTCTACCCAGGGGGACAGCTTGAGGCTCTGTCTCACAAAAAAAAAAAAAGAATAGTTCAGAGTAACTGAGGGGGACCTTGGGAAATTGGCCCAGGTTAAGAGCTCCAAACCAATAGACTCAGTCTATACAAACTCTCAAGTGGGAGAGTTCAAATAGTCTTCAGCAACTAGAAGGCAGAGGTCTACTAGCTGCTCAAATTTGGCTCGCTCCGATGCTCTGTGCAGTCAAAAAGGCTCTCCCGGTAGCAGGGTTGGACCTTGACCTCTTTTATGTTTACATGGATGGAGCTGGAAAATGTTCTTCTTAGCAAAGTATCTCAAGAACGGAAGAAAAAGTATCCAATGTACTCAGCCCTATTATGAAACTAATTTATAGCTTTCATAAAGCTATAACCTAATTATAGCCTAAGAATATGGGGAGGGTGTGGGGAGAGAGTGGATGAGTGGAGGGAGGGTGATTAAAGGGATCACCTCTATGGTGTATCTCACAAGGGTACAAGTGAATCTTTCTAAAAGTAGAATATAAACATCTTAACACAATAACTAAGAAAATAACATGAAGTTAACATGAAGTTAACCAGTTTGATGAAAATATTTCAAATTGTATATGAAAACACCACACAGTACCCCATGATTGCATTAATATACACAGCTATGATTTAATAAAAAAAAAAAAAAAGTTCAGAGTGTGAGGTTTTCACAAGCACCTTTCACAGACCAAAGACTATACAGTGTCTTCCAGCAGTAAAAGTAGTGCCTTTTTCAGCAGTACAAGGGCACCAGCCACATACACCAGAGCTGGTGGATTCCAATCCAGACCGGGCCTACCAAAACGACGACGACTGCAACCAAAGAATAGCGGGGCATTGTGGTGGGCGCCTGTAGTCCCAGCTACTTGGGAGGCTGAGGCAAGAGAATGGTTTAAGCCAAGAGTTTGAGGTCGCTGTGAGCTCTGATGCCACAGCACTCTACGAGGGTGACATAATGAAACTCTGTCTCAAAAGAAAAAAGAACATCAATGTAGGGTTATGTATTTTTATCTAAGCGTCCAAACCTCATTAGAGTTTACAGAATTGCTTCAGGAAAGACAACATCTCCAATCAGGCTTCTATAACTTCACTGTTCCACTAAAACTACTCTTTACTAGTACAATAACTTTCACATTCCGAAATCTAAAGGTTAATTCTCAGCCCCCATCTTAATTGTAGTATTTGACACAGCTGACAGCGCCTTACTCCTTGAAACACTTTCCTCATTTGGCTTCAGAACACCCTCTAACCTGGTGTTTTTCAACCATTTTATCTCAAGGCACACTTGAACCTGTAGTTAACTTCCACTGCACACTTAAATCATGTTGATCAAAAAAAAAAAAAAAAGAGTAAAATAAGAATATGCTTACTGTGCTTGAACTTCTTTCAAAAATAATTTAATGATTTTTTTAAATTTTTCATAGCACACCATTTGAAAATCACTAGTCTAATCTGGTTTTCATCCTACCTCTCTGGCTACTGCTACTAAGTCTCCTTTGATGTTTCCTCCTCATCCCCAACCTCTAAACTCTGGAGTTAAGTCCAACAATCTGTTCTAACTTCCATCTCCACTTACGCCACTGGTGATTACACCCAGCTTCCTGGCTTTAAATACAATCTATTTGTCAACACCACCCTGAGGTATGGCTCAAGAGATCTCTCCAGAATTCCAGATTCACAAACCCAATTGACCTCTCAACATCTCTAAGTCTAACAGGCATCTCTAATTTTTGTTTGTTCCTGCCCTTCAAACTCGTTTCTCTTTCAGTCTTCCCCATCACAATAAATGGCAATTGCATCCTTTGAGAAACTAACCGCAAAAACTTTGGAGTTAACCATAACCTTTCTTTCTTGCGTAGTACATATCCAGTCTATCAGCAAAACCTGTTGATTCTACTTAAAAAATACATCCAGAATCAGCGCATAGATCACCATAGTCACTGCTCCTAATACCAACCACACTTTCTCTCACTTCAATTATTAGTAACAGCCTCATAACTGGTATTGCTTTAACCCTTGCCCAATTAACCACCAATCTATTATCAACACAGTAGCCAGAGAAGTGATAATGTCGTGATAATGTCAAAATGTAAATCAGATCAAATCACCTCACTGCCCAAATCCCTCCAAAGACTTCCCATTTCACCTAATGCAGTGGTTCTCAACCTTTCTAATGCTGCAACCCTCTAATATAGTTCCTGTGGGTCTCGACCCACAGGCTGAGAACCACTGACCTAATGTAAAAGCTCAAGTCCTACAAAGGACCTGCAGCGTCAGCCTCACCTAGGAACTTATCAGAAACAGGCCTCACCTCAGACCTACAAAATTAGAATCTAAATTTTAAAAGGAATCCACCACCCAAGGTAATGCATGTGTACATTAAAGTTTGGAAAGCACTTCTATAAGCACACAAAATAAGCAACACAACCCCACTCTTGCCATTTCTCAGGCAAGCTTCTGTCTCAGGACCTTTGCACTTGACATTCACTATACATACCTGGAATGCTCCTCTCATGGAGAGTGGAACCTCTGTAAGTTGACCACCCAAGGGACTGTTAACAAACTAGTCAACAAATAGTGGTGATCAACTTAAGAAACTAGTCCTACTATATGATATGTACATGTGGTGCTTGTCCAGTCTATGAAAATTTAAGTCAACTTAAGGAGGTGGTCAACTATGGAGATTCTACTGTACCTGTATGACTCACTCACTCCCTTACCTCTTTCAAGCCTTTACTTCTATGTCTGGCTGTCTGTGATCACTCAATCCATCCCCTCAATATACCCTCCTATTCCTGCTTTCACTTTTCTCATTAGAATCTGTCATCGTAAGTATAAAAACTGCCTTGTTACATGTATTATTTATCTCATTTACTCTGGCTCCCTTCCTAATACATAATGTAAGCTCTATGATGGTAGAGATTTTTATTAGTTTTCTTCCCCAGTGCTCAGAACATAGTAACCACTCAATAAATATTTTTAAATGTATAAAATAATAAATTTGAGTTTTTGCTTCAAAACACTAATGGAGCTTATAAAATGGTTCCTTAATACAGAAAATGACTTTTCTCTCAGCAATATATTTAACAAATCCACTTCTTAAAATATACTAACCACCTCAATAAAAACTTAGGCACTGTAAAAACTACTCTTCATCCATAATTAAATATGAAGATTTAAAGTCTGATTCATGATCACGACAGGGCTATACCATAAAAAAGTTTGCGGAAAGAAAAACTTAGCCTTTGAATGAAAAGAGCAGATGTCCCTACAACACCTAAAACTCTCTACAACGCAGTAACAAAACTTTTTTTCACACAAAATAAATATTCTCATCTGAATCTCAACAACCCCAGGAGCTATATAAAGTAAGTAATAGTAAGCCCATTTTAAAAATGAGGAAACAAACATACAATTTACTCTCAGAGCATGGAAGTAATAATGTCAAAACTGAGATCGAAGTCTCTCGATTTTTACTTCAAACTCCCATGACATCACATCTCCTCTTGCAAACGAAACTAAATCAGACTATAAAATCACATAGCCATATATTATACTGAGGACGGTAAATTTTCCCAAACCATACAGGGTCTCTGCAGAATGGAAACAAACTCAATTCGCTGAAATCATAATTATTAATATCAACTTAAAATATATATATATATATCAACTTAAAGAATGCAAGCTTTTTTTCTGTTAAATCTAATTCAGTGTCCAATAACATTCAGGAAGAATGTAACAATCAGTACATTAAGGAAGTTCTGGCTCGGCACCCATAGCACAGTGGTTATGGTGCCAACCTCATACACCAAGGGTGGTGGATTCAAACCCAGCCCAGGCCAGTTGTGACAACTGCAACAAAAAATAGCCAAGCATTGTGGTAGGTGCCTGTAGTCCCAGGTACTTGGAAGGCTGAGGCAAGAGAATGGCTTAAGTCCAAGAGTTTGAGGTTGCTGTGAGCTGTGACACCATAGCACTCTACCAATGGTGACATAGTGACACTCTGTCTCAAAAAAAAAAAGTTCTTTTACAATTGGCTATTACAATCGCCAGAGAACTGGGAAGTTAAGGCAGATGGATAGCCTGACCTCATAGGTTCAAGACCAGCCTGAGCCAGAGCAAGACCCCATCTCTAAAAATAGCCTGGTGTTGTGGGGTTGTCTATAGTCCCAGCTATTTGGGAGGCTGAGGCAAGAGAATCACTTGAGCCCAAGAGTTTGAAGTTGCTGTGAAATATGACACCAGGACACTCTATCAAGGGCAACAAAGTGAAACTCTATCTCCAAAAAAGAAAAAAAAAAAAAAAACAATTGCCAGAGAAAAAGAGAGATGGGAGAGAGGAAGATGGACCAAGTGAATGAGTAAGAACTGAGTTGTATGGAGGAAAGTGTTATGGTTATACCACTATTTTATACTGCTTTGAGTACTTACGCGATTTTGCCATAGAAGAAAAAACACACACCTCCTCAAAATCCCAGCAATAGCTTTCCTTTCTTTGCATAGATGAGGATGAACAATTGTAATCCAAAATGTTTCCTAAAAAGTTCTTTTTAAAAAAGACATAGAAACAGAAGATCCATACGAAAAGAGATCCAATCTGGGAAAATAGATACTGTCTTCTAAATCTTGTGACCAAGAAAACTGTTCACCAAGTGTCAGCCTCTGAAGAAAGTGCTAACTGTGGGTGTGTCTTCTCTAGAGAGTAATACCTGCTGGGACAGAGAATCAAGAGAAAAAGAAAGAACTACTAAATACAAATGACAGTCTGACAAACAATCAAAAGCATCCCAAATCTCAAAGTCCAATCCGAAATGCTCCAAAATACAAAACTTTGAGCACCAACGTTAACACTCAAAGGAAATGCCCATTGGAGCATTTCAGTTATTTAAGACTATCAGATTAGGAATGCACAACCAGTTAATATAATGCAAATATTCCAAAATCTAAAAAAATCCAAAATCTGAAACCCTTCTGGTCCCAAGCATTTTGGATAAGAGATACTCAACCTGTACCAATTATTGGGCTGCAAAATTTTTCACATTAACATCAGTGAACATTAAAAGATCGCACAGAGGTAAAATAAGTGGCCAAGCCCAGCTGACACTTCATTACTAATGACAGCAATAACAAAGGTACATATCAGCAGGTAACCCAGCTTTCTCATTGATAATGAACAATAAATAAATAAGCAGCACATGTATAGTAAAGAAAATATAAAAATCTATTTCAAGTTTTTTATAGCAAGATGATGGTCCCATACAACCAAACAGACATAGATATAAATATTAGTTTGTAGTCAGCCAAACAGACCAAGCATTCTGGCACCTTATAAAACAAATATCGTAGAACTAATGTAGATATCCACATCAACAGAAAATGCAGGAAAAACAGGTCTCTCAGAGAAACTAAAAGTTAATGCGAAAACAAAGAGACAAAGTTAATTTGACATGAAGGGTGGTTTATGTACCCTTTTTAGCTATCTTACTGAACTAGGAATATGTTATATTTTAGCAACCAACAATAAATTATAGAAGGCAGCACCTATGGCTTAGTGAGTAGGGCGCCAGCCTCATATACCGAGGGTGGCAGGTGGCCCCAGCCAAACTACAACAACAACAACAAAAATAGCCAGGCATTGTGGCGGGCACCTGTAGTCCCAGCTACTCGGGAGGCTGAGGTGAGAGAATTGGCTATGCCCAAGAGCCGGAGGTTGCTGTGAGCTGTGACACTACAGCATTCTATTGAGGGCGACAAAGTGAGATTCTGGCTCTAAAAAAAATAATAATAAATAAATTATACAATATATATATGTATGTGTATATATCAATCAGAGGCTGGAATGAAATACAGTGGTGGAACTAGCAGCATATAAGACACAATAAAAGAAAAAATTAGTGAATGTAAAGACATAGCAATAAAAACTATCCAAAAAGAAACACAACAGAGCAGAGCAGAGCATCAGTAAGCTATAAGACAATCTCAAGAAGCCAAATAATATCAATATATGTGTAGTCTGGGGGTGGGGGTAGATATTTGGAGAATTCAAATGTCATCATATTTGATGAAAACTATAAACCTACAGATTAAAAAATGCACTACAAACACGAGGCAAAAAAAGCATGAAGAAAGCTAAAACTGGCTGAGCGCAGGGCTCACACTATAATCGTAGGACTCCAGGAGCCCAAGGTAGATGGGTTGCCTGAGCTCAGGAGTTTGAGAACAGCCTGAGCAAGAGTAAGGCCCTGGCTCCACTACACACAGAACAACTAGGCTGGGCATGGTTGCTCCTGTAATAGTAGCACTCTGGGAGGCTAAGGCAGGTGGCCTGCCTGAGCTCACAAGTTCTAGACCAGCCTGAGCCAGAGCCAAGACCTCATCTCTAAAAGTAGCCAGGTGTTGTGGCAGGTGCCGGTAGTCCCAGCTACCCAGGAGGCTGAGGCAAGAGGATCGCTTGAGTCCAAGAGTTTAAGGTTGCTGTGAGCTATGATGCCACCACAATCTACCAAGGGCAACAAAGTGAGACTCTGTCTCAAAAATAAATAAATAAATAAAAACAGAAAAACTAGCCAGGCATGGTGGCAGGTGCCTATAGTTTTAGCTACTGGGAAGACTGAAGGAAGGGCATCATCTGAGAACCAGAGTTTGAGGTTGTGAGCTAGGCTGGTGCCATGGCACTCTAGCCTGGGCACAAAGTGAGACTCTGTCTCAAGAAAAAAA